GCAACAAGGATTATTTAGTATTGATAGACACATTTTCTAAATGGATAGAACTTGTACGACTATCATCAAAAACTGCCGATTCAATAATTAAAGTACTGAAAAGCATATTTTCTACGCATGGTATACCTTCCAAGTTGTATGCTGATAATATGCCTTTCAACTCGAGACAGTTCAGACAATTTAGTCAAGACTGGTCATTTGAATTGACATTCTCCAGCCCATACTATCATCAAAGTAATGGGCTCGCAGAAAGAGGTGTGGGCATTTGTAGGGCAATGTTAAACAAATGTGACGATATCCAGGGTGATATATTTAATATAATGCTGGAATATCGTAACACTCCAGTCTTAGGGACACCATACTCACCAGCGCAATTACTGTTTAGTAGATTATGTAGGACTAAATTGCCAATTACCAATGAGTCATTGGCTCCCAAAGTAGTTTCTCAATTTCGTGACGAATTGCTTAAGAACTCTCTTACGAAGAAAGCTTACTATGACCGAACCGCTAGGACTCAAACTCACAATTTCGTGCCAGGTCAAAAGGTGTTGTATAAAGAGAATGATAAAAGTAAGACGTGGTGTCGTGGAGAAATTGTGAACTTAGGTGACAATCCTAGATCGTTTAAAATTAAAGACCAAAATGGTCGAATTAAACTTCGAAATACATGGTTCCTCAAACCATTACATTCTAGTAATAATTTGAGAACTCAGCAACAGATTATACCAATTACATTTTCTGATAAACCAAAGTTCTGGTCTAACACATCGAAGTTGATAGAGATAGGAGAAGGTGAACAATTAATTGCAGAAAGTAGGGATGAGGTAAATGAGCAGAGCACAATAAGACCAATTAGACAAGTAAGACCACCGATGTACTTACGCAATTATGTTTGTAAATGACTGTAAACAATTGTTTGTAATATTTTATTTATGTAATCTGTAATTGTTATGTAATTATTATGATAAGGGAGATGTGATAGATTAAGTAAGTGACAAGGGGAGAACCGGCAACAAGGCAGAGAGAGTCGGACGGAGACGCAAGTACATGCGTTCAGTTAATAAAGTTATGTTAAACAAACATGTCGTTTCCTTTTGTTTTAACATATAACACAGTCCCGACCTGCCCCTTGCAATTATTATGTTTTTGGCCCATTACAGCAATCAATAAAAGGACGACGGTTCAAAACGGACGCTGAGGTTGAGTTTGCCGTTAAGGAATGGTTCCGCAAACAGCCGCAAGAATTTTACCAGCACGGAATTTACAGATTAGTAGGTACATACTCTTTGGTACAACCAAGATATATGTTTGGGTGGGATTCGTGCCTTAATAAGTATTCGTGCCTTAATGTTAATGCAGACTTCTTTTAAAACGTTGAATAAAAAATGTTGTATATCCTCTAAACGTGTTTCTATTGAACAATCCTCGTAACAAAATAACAACAAACATTTATGGAGCGACGCGTTCACTACCGCCATTGAAGACAAGTTGCCGAACGTAACCAGCGTTCGTGTTCTCCAGATGGCGCAAATCCTTAGACCATATAGTACATCTTAGACCAGTACATGGACTGCTGCTTTCAATACAAAATGGGTGGTCACGGATAGAGGGCACTGTAGTCGTGGGTATGTCCGTAGCCTACCGATAGATCTAGCCGTGACATTGCTTTAGTGACGTCACAACTGGAGATGGGCCACTGCAACGTGATACTCATACTATGTGTTTAAATGCAATTTGATTTGCGCGCGTACTCATTTAATGCCAAAACATTTAGTAATTACTTGTTTTGAGCCGCAGAATTATCTTCTTTTTTATCATAAAACAGGCTATGTTTCCCCCAAATTTCAAACCCTTACGACATTTTTTCGCAAAAATAAGAATAAAAAACAAAAAAAACAGTTTTTTCGGTTTTCCTAGGAAAAATGGAGGTTACGTGAAAATAGTGCAGATACAAAAGTTGCTCATTTTTTTAATCTCTATAACTTTTACATTTAACATTTTCGTCTAAAATTAATAGTTTTGCCAGAATTTGCAAAACACCACTTCCCACCCCTTTCAACCCCCGTGATTTCACCCGCGGAAAAATTCAGCTGTTTTAATTATTTTTTCCCAATTTCTATTCATTTCACCTGCCTGAAAAAACCCGTTTCGCCCGGTAACTAATTTTTTTTGTCAAAAAATATTATACAGGGTGGTGCCTAGCGCAATGCAGCAAAGGGATTTCAATGGTAATTTCTTTATGGTCAATTATTAGCTCCCCTAATTATTTTAGAGCAAAAGTTTTTTTGAGAGAAAAAAATACTGCATCTGTTCATACTTTTAGTTATAATTTTCCATTTTTCAAAACCGTAGAAATCGACAAAATAAAAAATTACATTTTTATAAATCAGTGATGCTTTGGCAAACTACAAGCGCATCGCATCTATAAAAAAATAAGTTATCGTTGTTTGACGTCGAACGATTTTCATATTTAATTCTGTTTCAACTAACCGACGCAATAAAAGGCATCTTAGGGTAATGTTTTTTTAGAGAATGTATCTGCAACAGATACTATTTGTTTATCATTTTCCGGAATCAGAGTACCTACATAATCGAAGAAAAAAAACTGATTTGAAGATTTGTTCCAAAACTTCTATTCGGATTTTCCGCTACTGCAGCCAAAACGTTGAATGTGTTGTCGTTTTCCTGATTGTTTTGACGGACATTTTGAACGTTACTGTACCTGCAGTTCTTTAACTAATTTATAAACAAGTATAAAGTTAATAAACGTCAAAGGCAAATAATGAAACGTGATCGCTGTTTCTTTAGGTAATTCCAAGGCATATCTGATTTATTGTAAAATGAACCTTTTTATTTTGTCGATTTCTACGGTTTTGAAAAACGGAAAATTATAAGTAATAGTATGAACAGATGCAGTATTTTTTTCTCTAAAAAAAAACGTATTTAGACTTTTGCTCTAAAATAATTAGGGGAGCTAGTAATTGACTATAAAGAAATTGCCATTGAAATCCCTATGCTGCGTCGCGCTAGGCACCACCCGGTATAGCTTGGACCATTGAAGAAGTATAACGCCCGTGTTAACTGATGAAATAAGAAAATCTGCCCAGGATTCTGTCGTCCCTCTGTTGTGGGGGAAAGTGAACCACAAATTTAAAGCTAGTTACCGACTTTGCAGATTTCTTTACTTCTTTAAAATTCCAACGTTGCCAGATTTTTGCCAAGCGCTTTGAGTTTGAATTATAGATTAAAATATTGAATAAGCTTTTATTCAATGCAATAACGATATTATGTAAGAGAGGATCAATCTGAAATGTAAGATCATAAGCAACAATAAATACAGTAAAAAATGTAACTTAAATTAATCAGAAAACAACAAGAACTGTTCTAAGGACCGTTATCTTTACATAATAAACAATCAAACTTTACCTAGCTCCATTAAAGGATCTGGTAAATATGACACCACAGTTCAACTCTGATAAACAAGGAAAACAAAGGGCCCCTAAGTATAACTGGTTTTCCTGTTTAAAATAGTTATTATTTACCGCCCGAGGCCAAATATCCTTCAATATTTGTGGTACTTAACCACTTTGCAGTGTATGCAACACACCTTACACCAATTTCAGGTTTCCTATGTAGTTATACTTCTTTAAAGTGCTTATTCAATGCTTCAACTAATAACTGACCAGCGCAAAGGAAGTGATATGATGACGACTTCCGTCGCGTGTTATGCTATTTTCCTCCGCTGTTATATTCTCTCCTCTTATTTTTACTCGTAGGTAACGCGAATAGCAGCCATTTTGGATCAGTTTGGGAACCGCGAAATTTGAAATTAAACAACAGTTGGAAAGTATGTATAAAGTATGTATTTTGTATTCGCTCTTGGATTGTGCGAATACTTCAATAGGGCAAGTTTTGTGAGCGTATCGTTTAATAGCCTTTAACATCACAAGAAAAATATAATTGCATCGCTTTTTCAATCGTTTCACCACTCCACATAAAACCCTTATGTGTACCCAACTCTAAATATTTTAATTGATCTTCATTCAAACTTTTCGAAAAATTGTCTTCACTTTTGAGTAATTTCTTTTTTCGTTTTCTGTTTTCTTGCAAAAGTGCCTAGATGCGCTTCTCTAATGAATTAATGGTTACATCAGTACTCTCCTGAATGTATAAAGACAACTAACGGGCGATCAAAGATGAGTTGCTGTCGAGTCGACTTTGGAAGTTCAATTTCCCATGTAAACAAAAATTCCAAAGGTGACTCGACAGTAACTCATTTTTGATCGCATGGTATTATAATGCAACACAACAAATGTCAAACATGACACTAGGTGTCAAACGGCCATTTTGGCTCAATTAGCAGTTAGTTTTTGTCTAATACTAATGAATCGCGTTACTTTAGTAACCTAGGGACTTTACCTCCTCCTAACATTTGCGTGGTTACCAACTCTCAAAAATGTGTGCCTCGTCCACGAACTTATAAATTAAGATGGACTACTAATGATGAATTAACAAATGACACCTATATTGAGCCGGGCCCCCTTGATGTGCACTCACATGGCGCGAAATTTAAATCAACTAATAAACAAGCTGTGACACATGTCATTTTCCAAGGCTGCAATAGTCTAAAAACTTGAGCACTAGAAAAATTCCCCTAGAAAATAACTAAAACGTGCACATCATGGCCGCGCCCATGCTAGGGCCATTTCTAACTCTATGCAACTGTTTGATCAGCAATCCATCTTAATTTATAAGTTCGTGGCCTCGTCGTAAGTTGTATAATGTATATACAGGGTGGAACTCAAATTTCAAATGCGGTTTTTTAGTAATAAAAAGGGGCAACGTTACCCCCATTTAACCTACACTGTATCTCTCCCAGTTATGGAGATCCCAATGGTGAGCCACGAAATGGAACCACCCTGTACAACAGTCCTGAGCCTTCACGGTCTTCTAGCCAGTCAGATTAAACTCGTATTACGATACGCGCGACACTGCCCGTTCCCGCCAAAAGTTTTTGATCTAACCTATCTTACCGGTGTTTTATTGATTTGGTTGTGAATGTTTGTGAGATTAGTTTAGTCGTTGAGTGAAAATATTCAATGGTTTAGTACAGTAAAACGGTAGGACTACATGTTACTTTGCCGAATTTAATTTATATCTAAGATTAGTTGGATTTTTTGGTTGTATTGGATAAACGGTTTTTCTATGGCCCTTTGAATTGATTTCTTGTTACAGAAGGAATCATCTCCAAAAAATTGTGTAATGGCACAAGCAAATGATCCCAGTAAACGATTCCTCCATTTACTTAAACAAACAGAAATTTTAACACAACGTATGGTTATTAAGCCTAATAAACCACCTGATGTAATAAAGTAAGTAACACAGTTATGCTTTCTTTTGATTTTTAAAATTATCCTAAACGTAGTACCAAATCAGCAAAAGATAAAGGCCATGTGAATACTAAGATACATTTTGATTCTACTCCATATTATATACAAAATGGGCAAATGCGTGATTATCAAATTCATGGATTGAATTGGATGATTAGTTTGTATGAAAATGGCGTTAATGGTATTTTAGCGGACGAAATGGGTTTAGGAAAAACTCTACAAACTATTTCAATGCTTGGTTTTATGAAGCATTATAAAAAAATTTCAGGACCATTTCTAATCATTGTACCTAAATCGACATTAATTAATTGGACAAATGAAATTCAAAAATGGTGCTCTTCCCTTAAAGCAGTCTGTTTAATTGGACCTCGTGAAGTTAGGGTAAGTATAGATATTTTTTTGTGTTAATTGCTTTGTAGCACTCGCACGTTAGTAAGGGAGGTATTGCATTGGGGTAAAAAATGACCTCCCATCTTTTTTTTACGGAAATACGTGTTTTGAAGAACCATGAATCCGAATCAAACCAAGTCTCAATTATGTCGATCGGTCTGTCTGTCTGTTTGTACTCTCATTTCCATAGCTAAACGGTTGAAGTGATTGGAACCACATTTGGTACCTACACATATTCTTAGACATGAAAGGGCAGAATCAGGCATGCGTAGGTGTGCGGGTGGTAGGTATCTGTGCTAGACACATCAAATTTTTTAATACTGATGGGCAGATGTTAAACTATGAGATGTTCTCGGCAATTGTAAAAGAGACTTTCCTGTGCTGAGAGGAAAGATGTTATTGAGAAACAGGTTTAGGTTGCATTCATTAAGTTAAGGGAATTGAATATTGTTCCTTCTTACTTGTAACTCTATCAACTATGCAAACGGCCATTGTTTACTTGAAGTGTTAATTCCTTACTCTCCTTGGTAAAAACGGAACTTTTAAAAAGCATGGCAAATTGACAACTCCTTTCTTGTAACATCTCTAGCAGAGCGCCGTTGATTAACATCCCTATTAGGACTATGTTAATGAATTATGCTCAGAATTATATGGTGCTGATGGACGTTTGCATCGACAAATAAGTTAACTACTAACATACAGTGAATTTTTTTTAAATGCGAACATAGGAGTTTGCATGCAATGTAATTTCCCTATGTTCGATTTAAAAAAAAAACACATCAATCTATTGAGTAGTTCAAATGAGTAGTAGATACAATTGACGGCTGTCACATTTTTAAAAATACCGCCGTCCAATTTAATTACGAAATCGGTTAGGCTATTGCTTATAATGTCAAGGAGGACACTTCGAACATTTATTGTAATTGTTTTCGGTATTTATTTTCTTATTTTCTTCATTTATGTATTGAAGAGATCAAATTAGTAGAATACCAGGTGCACATGACCTACAAATAATTGAAGGTTGGTTCACAATAAGTTGTGGTGTCAGTGCGTGGCCTGTGAGGTCAAGTTATGGTAGGTTTAAGAAAAATATATCCTGAAGTTGCTATGGGCTCACATGGCTTCTTTAAAAAAATCTTACCCAGTGCTCTTCATCAGCTGTTCATAGTCACACAAGTTGCGCGATTTGGGAATGTGAACCGCGCACACCTCATAGATTGATGTGTTTTTTTTTAAATCGAACATAGGAAAATTACATTGCATGCAAACTCCTATGTTCGCATTTAAAAAAAAACTCACTGTATAATGCCTACTAGTTTTGGTCTTCTTGGCTTAAAATAGGAGGGTGGACAGGGACAGACTACCTCCCTGACTAGACTCGTCCGACCCCTGAACGTCACCCACGCCATCCCACACATGAGTTGAATCGTAAAGATGCTAAAAGGGAAAGCGGGTCTAATCATAGCCATGTTGCCAGAATACCTAAAACATGGATCATCTCAGTTTGACTACAGCGAGACATTCACAAAGTATGTGGTGAGTTGTAGCGTGGTCTATATAACATCATCTACAAGACAGTGATTCTACCAAACACATGCACCGCATGTGTTTAGTTTGCAGTGCTCAGGAAGTATTCCCTCGAGTCACCTTAGGTTGTTTCTTGATAGCCCCGTCCAAAAATGCGCTAGGGTACGAGATGATCCTTTGAATGCTGCTCTCAAATGACAAGAATCTGACATCATGTGCCACCTATTCCTGTGTTGGGTTTGGGTGTCTTGAATTATTAAGTTGTTTACAGTCGCAACTGTAAGTGGAAAAGCCAGCTCTCGACCATGCAACATCTGTTTTGAAGCCAGTCATGCCAACTCATCGGCTTTCTCTTACCTTCCATTCTAGCATGCCCTTCGACCCATGCGAGCTCAAGGGTGTTGCTACTTGCGACTTGCTCTACTGTATGGCGACATTCAGAAACCAACCTAGAGGTAATTTTACAGTGGCCAAGTGCCTGCAGGGCAGCCCTGGTGTCACTGGAGATTCTAATATAGTGGGAGCGGCTCGTGATAAATATTGGTATTATTCGGAATTTCGTATTAAAATTGTGCCACTTGGAACACATGTTCCCTAGATCTTTTGGTGTGATTTGAGTCGCAGAGCCGAAAGTTCCGTCCCTTAGGATTGAAAATGGCGCCAATTTTTAAAACTTCAGGAAATATATGTTTTTAGAGCGATTTTTACGTTTGGGGTGACGTTTACGAGGTTTCCGACGGTGAATATGACAAAAATAATATCCAAAGCTAATTTCTGTGTGGGAAGCATGTTTCATTTATCATATATAGGCCAATTGTATGATATTTTATGTCTTACTAACCTATCATAGCACATTTTATATCTGTGATACGCGGGCATAAAGTACCACTTTATGCCCTAGGGCATTAAGTATCACCATAGTAACTCATTTATACTTAATGACAAAACAAACAAATATTTGCAGGTCATTGAAAATTAGAAACGTCAATTATTAATTGTCAATACCTACTAAATCACAAGATTGGCCTTATTTCGTATAGTTTCTGGAACTTCTTGGTCATTCACGATGAATTGAATTATTTAAAATTACGTTTGACGTTTGGATGGTTTCAATCACATTAACAAATTTGAACCACGCATACTCGATCAAACATAATGAATTATTTTGTAAACGAATTTTGACGAAGAAAACTATTTGTAAAACATAAAATTGTGTATGTACCACGGGCATAAACTGATGTTTATACTCTCGGGCGACTAAAAAGCTCTCGGGCCGTAGGCCCTCGAGCTTTTTAACTCGTCGCCCTCGAGAATATAAACATCACTATTATACCCTTAATACATAAATAACTATTTTACGTCCGACAAGATTCAAAGGTTTTGACCGATTTTCGTAGTTGAGGTGGCGTTTCTGAGATTCTTTTGGGTGAAGATTACCAAAAAGGCCCATTAAAGGCCTTTTTTATGAATTTATCGTTTCCCGAAAGGATGTCGTGGTTATCTGCTAGTGAGTCGCTTTGAACTTCAACAGTGGCTATTTTCTGATCAAATTTGTTTTTATTACGAAAAACGTTACTTTCCTGAGCGCGCGCGGCGTTATCGCCCCACGAATTTCTATTATACTGAAACTTTGGTTTTTGCAATACTTCGCGATTACTGATTTGTTTTTCTACTTCCACGTTTTTAACCTCAGGCGCAAAATAATACTCAGCCTGCCGCAAACGTCCTATCGCATCCGCAAAGCGTTTCATCCCTACCAAATGAGTTGCAATATGGGGAGGATAATTTTTGGCTAGCTTCTGGATAATGAAATGCTCAGGATACGAAATATGTTTTGCTAGTGCCACACTACGCATAAAATGCTGACTGAATGTCCCTATGGTAGCGTAGTATTTATTTTTTTCTAAATTATATAAAAATTCAGATTGAATCACATCTGACCAGAAAAAATTTCGAAAGCCTGCTTTAAATTCGTCAAAATTTGAAAAAGTATGCATATGCGTTTGACTCCACGATAAGGCTTCGCCTCGAAATTGATTCGCAACTACCATTCTGAAGTATGAATACGGTACCTTATTCAAATTATAATAGTAATCTACCTGCTCCAAAAATTCCAATGGGTGAACAATGCCCTTATTGTCAAAGATTGGAAGCCTTTTGTTTATATCAAATTTGTTAAACTTACGTATAGCGTCCTCACACGCAATGCGATCATCTATTTCAAACATATGTGGGTTTGGCATAAATCCCTGCACGTTATGGTTTTGTGATAACCTGGTGTTTGGTACTTGCCCGCTTTGTTGCAATTTTTCAATCACCTGTGAAACAATGTCTGTTACTAACTGATTTACATTATGGGTGTTAGAACAATGATTTATTGATGTACGATTACTATTTACAATATTACGAGTACTACAGAATCCATCTTCTTCCCACGAAAAAACTTTAGGTTTTCCCATCACCTTCTCCTGTTCACATAAGGTCTTCTTATTACGCCTTCTTCTCTCCCACCTTCCTCTCTAATCAATTTGTCTTGTTGTGGTAGACCTTGATAGCCCGCTTCTACCATATGGGGTTTCAAACTGCTGGATTGATAATCCCCAGCTGCCTCGGATGTTTTTGCCCTGCTATGTAGCTTTGAAAAAATTCAGGAACCGACATATCGGTAGCTGCATCCTGCCTGTCGTTTATCGGAACACTCGATACTCGCTGATAAAACGGACCCGATGATGATTTAAACATTACTGCATACAGAGTTAGTAATTTGTTTTCTTTAAGAATGGAATTGGATGACAAAAATCCTGAGAAAGGAGCCCCCCAGCACATGATACCATATTTCATTACGGAGTAAAAGTTACCGTAATACATGCTTAGGAGAATATTCTTACTACAGTGCATTGACGTGATACGCAATGCGTAGCATAATTTTGATAAGCGTGTACAGAGTTGGTCGCAATGATTGTTCCACTTGAAGTTCTGATCTATGTGCACTCCTAGTAATTTCATTGTGTCTGATTCTGAGAACTTTGTGGTCTCATTTATATTGATGTTTAAATGGGACGACCCATTTATTCTGGACTTGTCAATTCTAAAGATTATGCACGCGGTTTTGTCCTTGTTCACTGAAAGAAGGTTAAGATTCGCCCAGTGTAGCACAGTGTTATACACAGCTTTGGTGTTTTCAACAACCTCGTGCAGGCAGGGGCCACTGATTAAAAAATTCATATCGTTAGCGTATGAAACGATTGTTGTATTCACTTCTCCAATGCTGTGTACGTGCTGTGGTAAATCGTTGGCAAAGACTAGGAATAACACAGAGCCCAAAATTGAACCCGGTGGTACTCCGTTGAGAATATTTAATTCATCTGAGTGGGTCGTGGCGCCCGACTCGCAATGAACAATTTTTTGGCGCCTCCCTCGCAAGTATGACGAAAACCATTCGTGAGCTACGCCCCTTACACCGTATAAGTATAGTTTTCTAAGCAACAGTATATGGTTTACGCTGTCAAAAGCCTTGAGCAGGTCCACAAACAACCCTAGAGCTACTTTCCTCCTGACCAAGGCATCCAACACATCTTGTGTAAAGATACTGAGAGCTGTGTCAACGGAGCGTCCTTTCCTAAAGTCTGGTTACACTGGGCGTGGCGAAACCTTGCAATTGAGTGGACGGGTCTTCCGGGTATTACTATCTACTGATATCTTCATCGATAGGAAATGCCTCCTGCATGTGGTAGTGTACTGAATATATAAATCTTCCATCCAAAAAGTGATCAGGGGCCCCTTTTTTGAAAAGATGTAAATTTTGCGTAAACTGACGCAGATTCGAGAACCGCGTTGGTTGAAGAACTCTTTCACTGCGAGTCGAGTTTTTAAATAAATTCATGGTTAGTACAGTTAAAACAAGAAATCTCGAATGGATGGATATACTATACAAATATGGCCCAGGTTTTGTCACTTTCACATTTGGGCAAGAACTTTATAACTTCGTTGTCACAAAGATTTTAAAGGAATTTAGTGCCCATCACTAACGACGACAGCATCAGAACACATAAAATAGAGGTACCTAAAGTTCAAATTCACCATAAGAGTACTTCAAGGTAATTTCTTTCCATTAAACATTTATTAATTGAATTGAATACATAGTTTGCATCTCAGTTTGCATGTAGCTTTTATAATTCACGAATCTAGCGTGTCGTTTAATTGCCTCGAAATAAATGTATCTACCGTCAACGGTATACCGGGTGGTGCCTAGCGCGACGCAGCATAGGGATTTCAATGGTAATTTCTTTATAGTCAATTACTAGCTCCCCAAATTATTTTTTTAGAGCAAAAGTCTAAATACGTCTTTTTTAGAGAAAAAAATACTGCATCTGTTCATACTATTAGTTATAATTTTCCGTTTTTCAAAACCGTAGAAATCGTCAAAATAAAACGGTTCATTTTACAATAAATCAGCCATGCCTTGGAATTACCTAAAAAACAGCGATCACGTTTCATTATTTGCCTTTGACGTGTATTAAATTTATGTTTGTTTATAAATGAGTTAAAGAACTGCATGTTCAAAATGTCCGTCAAAACCATAAGGAAAACGACAATACATTCAACACTTTGGCTGCAGTAGCGGAAATCCGAATATGGTTATGGAAGAAGAACAATTCTTCTTCAAATCAGTTTTTTTTCTCCGATTGTGTAAGTACTCTGGTTCCGGAAAATGATAAACAAAAAGCGAGACAAAAAGTATCTGATGCAGATACAGCATTACATTCTCTAAAAAAATATTACCCCATAGATGCCTTTTATTGCGTCGGTTAGTTGAAACAGAATTAAATATGAAAATCCTTCGACGTCAAACACCGATAACGTAGATTCTGCTTTGTTGAAAGATTCCAAAGCATCACTGATTTATAAGAATGTAATTTTTTATTTTGTCGATTCCTACGGTTTTGAAAAATGGAAAATTATAACTAAGTATGAACAGATGCAGTATTTTTTTCTCTAAAAAAAACGTATTTAGACTTTTGCTCTAAAATAATTTGGGGAGCTAGTAATTGACTATAAAGACATTACCATTGAAATCCCTATGCTGCGTTGCGCTAGGCACCACCCTGTAGAGTTACTGGGGCGTATTTTAAGAACATGACTTAAAATTTATGCTACCGCGTCCATGTTCATTGCCTAAAAGTAGCCTTTGCAAAATTATGTTTTCGACCAACGTTAATTATTATTAATTAAATAAGCCGTGGGATTGGAATTAATCTTGTCCAAACATGCGAGCAGCTAACGCAAATTATTAGGAAGACCGAAAGTTCAGGGTCAGTCGAAAAAAAAGAAGTATTATCTCACCACATCCTACTTCACACTTACCGGGTAACATCAAGTGGCGTACAAAGTCAATACAATCTGACCCTATCGCCTATGAAGAAGGTGATTTAAATATTAATCAATTAATTTACCCGAAGACTCACTGCAATACCTACCTAATGTGCTTATGTTGTGAGAATATTAGACTAAAGATGGAGACCATAATCATTATACATTACAGTGATTGTATTAAGACTACCTAACTAGTTTAATAATTATTATTATTTCTATATTTTCCATTATCAACATAATATACAGCATCTATGAGTACTAAATTTTTTTTTATTGCAGAAGGCATTCATAAAGGAAGTACTGAAACCGGCTGACTGGGATGTTTGTGTAACCTCATATGAAATGATTACATTAGAAACACATCCACTTCGAATGATTCATTGGCAATACATGGTTGTTGATGAAGGACAGAAGATTAAAAATGAAAACACGATACTCGCCAAAACTCTGCGAACATTTAAAAGTAGCAACCGTTTAATACTAAGTGGAACCCCATTGCAAAACAATCTACACGAACTTTGGTCACTCCTAAACTTTTTACTACCTGATCTGTTTCATTCCTCAGACGATTTCGATTCTTGGTTTACTACAAAACAGTGTCTTAGTGATTATTCCTTTGTGAAACGTCTGCACCATATCCTAAAGCCTTTTATTTTAAGAAGAATAAAATCTGACGTAGAGAAGAGTCTCAAACCAAAGAAAGAAGTGAAGCTTTACATAGGTCTTAGTAAATTGCAAAGGGAGTGGTATATAAAAATTCTTATGAAAGATATCGACATTATTACTAGTTCGGGGAATATTGCAAAGATGAGATTGCAAAATATGCTTATGCATCTTCGCAAATGTGCAAATCATCCCTATTTGTTTGATGGTGCAGAACCGGGCCCACCTTACACAACTGACGAACATATTATTTATAACTGTGGAAAAATGGTTGTGCTTGATAAACTATTAGCAAAATTGAAAGCGCAGGGTTCTAGGGTCCTTATATTTTCACAATTTACAAGGATGTTAGATATCTTGGAAGATTACTGTTTCTTACGACAATATAAGGTAAGTTGTTGTTGTATTTACTTATGTAAAGGGTACTAGATATAAACAGACTCATAGATACATATGTAAATGATAACCCTACCGTATGTGTGTGAGGTATTATACACTTTCAATCAGTGAACTTTTTTGTTTTTTTTTTTTCACTTTCATGTGGTACCTGTTGTTTGTTCTGCAATAATAAAATGTGTGTGTGACATACTTGTTTTAAGTTTTTCTTGATCTTCCTCTGTTTTTGTGTCTTTGTATCTTTGCTTGCCACATTTCGCTGTTGTAGATGTGTACACCATCTTATGTGCTTCCTTTCGATTAGTTCCTTTATGCCTTCTTCTCTCGAATCTTCCCTCATTTTATATCCTATGACTGGAAAATTCCAAAAAAAAGAAAAAAACACCACATTGGTAAATCATCAATTTAAATAAGGCCGTAATTTAAAATTCTTCCGCAAGAAGTGTCCTTTCAACTCTTTTCGTATATTCAATTTTTGTTTTTCCAAATCATTATATACATATTTGATCTTTTGAACAGGCACTACAACCCACATTTCCGTAGGAATTTGTCTCTTTATATTTAATACTCTTTTAGTTTTATTATTGAATGGTAAGTATAGTACCTATACCGAATTATAATGATAACTTGGTTGTTTGTAGTACTGTCGATTTGATGGCACCTCAGATCTCGAAGAGAGACAAGATCAAATAGATGCATTTAACAAGAAGTATAGCAAAATGTTTATTTTTCTGCTATCAACAAGATCAGGTGGCCTCGGCATAAATTTGGCAACTGCAGATTCTGTAATCATTTTTGATTCTGATTGGAATCCACAAATGGACTTGCAGGCCATCGATCGTGTACATAGAATTGGTCAAACTAAACAAGTACGCGTATTTAGGTAAGTGTAATGACATTAAAATAGATTAATAATTCTGGAAGTTAAATCTTTAGATTGGTAACTGAAAACACTGTCGATGAAAAGATAATTGAACATGCCGAAATTAAGCTCAGGTTACACCAATTAGTTATACAGGATGGACAATTGCCAGACCACACGTCTACTACTTTAGATAAAAATATTATGTTGAATATGATTAGGCATGGTGCAGATCACGTTTTGGCCTCTACAGATTCCGAAATTGTTGATGAAGATATTGAGACAATTCTACAAAAAGGAGAAGCAAAGGTATGTGCAGTGGCGTGCTAGGTAGATTTGGCTTACTCGAAAGCTACTAGTCGTAGAATGGGTCCATTTAAGTATTAAAAATTGTTTATTACATTTTGTTACAGTCTCGAATTTTTTGGGAGAATTTGAATTGTTTCGATGTTCTGTTATAGAAATTTTTATAGTTATTTTCATTGACGACATTATCATTACGGCAAAGCCTCAAACGATTTCATTTTCCGTCAGACAACGCCAATGTTAGCATAAGTCTACACATATCTTATTATTCAACATGCGTTTTAAGCGAAACTACACTCATAGTAAAGTTTTCTGATAGCCCAATTCGTTCCTCCGTCAAGCTTTTAAAGGTCAAAAGCATCTAATGATGTTTTTCTGTAGAGTTTGGCCTACTAATTAACCCCCTAAATTCGTCTGTTGATATCGATGCCCAACCGACCCCAAAAAAGAAAAAATGGAATTTTTCAAAAAGTTCCTATTTTTAATTATCTTTACAACGGTGCGTTTTATTTGTCGTTAGCTCTAATGGTAATGAAAATATAAGGATTTTTCTCCGCGCATTTGACATTGCATATACGGCAAGAACGCACACATATTCGTTAGCCATTCGTTTAAACAGTGTTTTGCCAAATGTAACTGTTTAAAATATTGTTTTTAAGGCCATTGCTCTTAGACGAATCAGAATTTTAAAAAAAAGTTAAAATAAAAATTATATCTGGTAACTTAACGAATCCAACGCGGGGTATAATTTGAAAATATCTGTTGGGATTACATTCTAAACTTGATAATTTAGTAACACAAGGTATTCTGACCAAGGTACATTTTTCAACATGGGCTACACCCATTGTACCGGTTGTTAAAGCCAATGGAAAGAGACGCATATGCTGAGATTTCAAAGTTAAATTGAATATACACAAAACACCTGCTAAAGTAAAAGCAATACAAGAAGCACAAAGACCTACTGACAAAAATCAGTTACGTTCTTTTCTAGGTTTAGTAAATTACTATGGTAGATTTTTTGAAAACTTGAGTACAATGTTAGCACCACTAAATGACCTTTTAAAACTGAATTCCGAGTTTATTTGGAATCAGAAATGTGAAAAATCATTCTTACAAGTTAAAAAAGAAATTCAATCTGCGAATTTTTTAGTTCATTTTGATTTACAATTACCAATTGTGCTAGCAACTGATGGTTCACCATACGGAGTGGGCGCTGTTCTTTCACATGTATATCCGGATGGTTTGCATCACAAACTTTAACATTATTACAACGAAAGTATTCACAAATAGATCGTGAGGCATATAGTATAATTTTTGGTATTAAAAAGTTCTACCAATACTTGTACGGTAACAAATTTATACTGTATGTACTGATCATCGACCTTTGTTACACATTTTTAATCCAAAGAAATCATTGCCTGTGTTAAGTGCGTCTAGAATGCAACATTACGCAATATTTCTTTCGACTTTTAGATACGATACAAGAGTAAAAACTTACATGGTAATGCAGATTGCATGTCTCCATTACCAATTAATTCTGAACAATTATACGATTTTGAAGAATCAGACATATTTGAAATAAGTCAAATAGAAACACTACCTGTTACAATTAGTAAACTAGCTCAAGCTACTAAAATGGATAAGAATTTACAACCATATTATTCATGGGATTAAAAACTGGTAAAGTGATTGATAGTAAACTACGTTTCAATATTAATCAAAAAGAATTCACCATACAACAAGAATGTATTTTGCGAGGTCACAGAGTAATAATACCTAAAATTTTACAAAAACAAATTTTAGATGAGTTACACTCTGCACATTTTGGTATTTACAAAATGAAAGGTTTAGCACGTGGCCTGGTATAGACAACGATATTGAAATGTTAGTAAAGAATTGTGCTAACTGCAATAAAATTAAGCATAATTCTACAGTAGTACCAGTGCATTCATGGGAAAGTGTTAGTAAACCATTTCGTGTACATGTCGACTATGCAGGTCTATTTTATGGTCATTATTATTTTATTTTAGTTGATGCGTATTCACGATGGCCCGAAATTTATGTTACAAAAGATATGACTACCAATACAACCATAAAAATATGCCGTGAAATATTTAGTCGTTTTGGCATACCACGTGTACTGGTGAGTGATAATGGTAGGAATTTTGTATCTTACGCTTTTAAAAGTTTTCTTAAACAAAACGGAATTAAACATAGTTTAAGTGCGCCATACCATCCTGCGACAAGTGGGTTGGCAGAAATATACGTTCAAACATTAAAGGAATCATTACGCGCAATTAATGGTAATAGTTCTGAATTGCGGGTGAACGGGACGTCAGAAGTGGGTACCGTCAAAGGGAATGTGGTAGTCCCCGACACGATCTTACCGATGGTGGAGTCAAATCTTCAAACGCGCATTGGAAGGGAACTGGACATCGGAAGTGGATACCGACAAAGGGAATATGGTAGCCCCCGACAAGATTTTACTGAGGGTGGAGTCAAAACTTTAAACGCGAATTGCGGGTGCACGCGGAAAGTGGGAAGCGGGTACCGACAAAGTGAATGTACTAGCCTTCGACAAGATCTTTTATTGATGGTTGAGTCAAAAGTGGCTAATAGAATACTGATCTGCCATACAAAAATGCGCTGAACTCCCTTCGATCTCACACGAGGACTTTTGATAATTTTTTTGGTTTGTTTTGTCTTTGATTTATTTTATGTCCTTAACCACGTTACAAATTATAAAATACAATATTTCAATTTATGTATAATATCATTATACAGTATGTGATAACATTTTACTCATGCATTCTCTTTCAATCATATTTTTCTCCAATAATATAACATCAGCATGCATACAAATGAGCACCTCATCAGTTTATGGTACAAAAAAAAGGAAACCACTTGTTAGCTGACACGACAACGTGGAAAAATGTGTTAGCTGGGTCATCAAAATTCAAAGTCGCCGCTAGCGCACGCTAAAGCTACATTTAAATATCAGTTGACAGTTATTTATGCTCTTTTTACATTGTACACTATTATATAATAATGTGTATGGACCATGTTTGGATACTTATGATTCCAGTAGAATCCAAAAAAATTCAAAATTTATGGAATAAGAAAGCATCATCATATCACACAAATTAAAAGAAACCGGATGGCTAAGTATGAAAAATCGTAGATATAAAAATCTAGCACTTCGCGTTTCGAAATTCGTCAGAAAATGACAGGTTTTTTTGACAGTTGTAGAAAAAATATTGTATATCACGCTAGCGCGAAGTTATTTCGCGCATTTGACTGATATACCTTCAGTCTCAATGCGCGAAATTGAACTTCGCGCTCTTGTTATATAAATAACTATTAGATACTTTCATAAATAAGAAAGTTGGCATTGCGCATGCACAAAACAACATTTTGAAAACGCCGCTAATTTCACTTATATTCGTAGTGTTTACATATAGTTTTATTTAAATATCTTCATAAATAAAAAAGTTAGCATTGCACATGCGTTAATCCAAATTTTTGACACTGCGCATGCGCAAAACCAAAAAGTATCGGTATGCACGGAATCCTTGGACCAAACTCTTTCAAACGAGCCCTATGTCGCCCAAATCGGTTCAGTGGTGTAGCAAGAGTACGTGTGACAGACGGACGGACGACAAAGTTCAACCAATAGCGATATTTCACTGTGAGGAAAATACGCTAATAAGTACAGCGAGAGTAATTTATCATGTAGGCATGTTAGTTCATTGCTGATTGTTAATTTACCAAGCCCTGCCTGGTTTTTGTAATTTTCTGTTACTTTTTCCTAACTGATGTTACAGTTCTGTTACTAACGCAATAATAATGCTTAGAGTGTGCCATCTTTTTTCAGAGTGAAAAACTACTAAAAAGATCTGAAGCTTTAAATGAAAGTTCTCTACAAAATGTAAGAATTATGGATACACCCAATGGATCAGTATATGAATTTGAAGGAGAAGACTATCGTCAAAAACAAAGGGCCATAGCTATTGATCATTTGACAGAACTCCCAAAACGTTCACGCAAAATACATTATTATGGTAACGGAACATCAAAGGTGAGTGTTTCAAAATTACTTTAGTTGCTGTGTTCTTTTATTCATATATGCCTAATTGTTAGAGCTATTTTTTGAGAATTATTATCATAATTAATATGTAGTTAATTACACAAACCTGTAAAAATGTATGTTTAAAGTTTATACAGAATGGTTATTATAGGAACCTAAACTGCCAAAGAAGCGTCAGGTCATTGCACCAAATGCTTCTGACAGTCTTGGATATCAAGGAGATCAGCAAAAAATGGATGAGGTCAAATCTCTGTCACTTATTGAACAGGCAGGTAAAGAAAATCGATCTACCCCAGCATTTGCTCATTGTGCAAAGCAGTCTATTAGACCAAATGTCACATATGGCCATGACGATATTGATTACATCGGGAAAACCCCAGAGGAAGTGGTGGGTTGCTCTAAAGTGTTTCGCGAAATTACCGATGCTACTGGAATAAATGCACAAATGAAACGTGAAGAGGTGAAAATAAAGAAGAATACACATATTGAAGATGATCTAGATACAACAATGGCTACTACGTGTAGCAGTCTGTTTGATGCAGTATATAAAAATAACAATAAGAAGATGAAGAAAAACTAATACAGAAATACATAGAATAGTACGAGACCATGGAGCGGATATATAGGAAATATTTTTAGAATCTTAAGTTACAACTGAATTTTGTCTTTATGCTTTTGTGGAACAAGTACAGATTTTGTGATGTCTTATTAAATTAATATATCCTTACCTTTTGTTTTTTTAAGAAATAATTTGTGAAAATTGTAATGTTTATTGCATTACTCGATGACGTTTAGTTACCAAACGAATTACGAATTTTCAGTAAAAAGCTGAATCATAACCACATCCGGTAAATGCTTGGAAACCCGGTAACATGTTACACACATCAACGCCCAAAAAGTTAATTGAAATTGGTGCCAAACGTCAGCGCTGATTCCGCCTCAGAATTTTTCATCAGTCCACTCCATCGAGCCATTTTGCGGTGTCTGTCCGTCCGTTACCATGATCTCAAAAACGAATGGACCAATTACAATGAAATTCTGCAGGTAGGTTCTTTATCAAATCAGATCCGAGTTCGTGAATTAGTAATGTAGGCCACAAAATAAAGAAGGCCCTTTTGACATCTCCGTTAGTTATGTACCGACTGGCATGAAATCCAAAATGAGGATAGCTTTAGCCATATAATACGTAATGCCAATGCCAAGCCATACCCAGGAGCTCGTTTGCTATGTTTGTTTAATTTATTGAACTTTTCAATTGTTGTTTTTAATAATTAAGAGTGCTGGGGATATAGGATAGGCAACAGACAGTGGTCACTGAAATTTGAAATAAAGGTCGAAACTTTTTAGTAATTTTTAAGCCCAAATATTAATTCTAACTAGAGGTCTTATTGGAAAGAGAGATATAAAAAGTCATTAAATGTAGCGATTTATTTTTTTGATAAAATTATTTAAATCGTGTATAAATTATAATCTTGGAATTTACTATAATAATAATAATAATAATGTATATTGACTGCATACTTGTAACAAAAAAATATACATTTGCAGAAGTCACACAATACTAAGAACGTGAATACTGGCTTTAGTAAAAAAAATATTTATAAAGTAAATCTGCACAATTTATATAGTTTATTTTAGTTTAGGTAATTGGATTAATAGTATATGAAGATACAAGTGTATAATCAAGTCTTTTAAGCACGCGCAACAAGTTTAATGGCACGACGCGAAGCGGGCAAGTGCTTGAAAGACCAATTATTATACACGTGTATCTTATAGTATTCATATTAGTAGGGGAGCTAGCACGAGAACCACTGAACGAGAATGATAAAAATTTTAACCAATGGATAATACCCTAAAAGCCCTCTGTATACTTCTTGTTGGGCCACTCTGTAAAAATATTGTACGTCAATAGAATGTAATATTCAGGAGTAACGTTTTCATTTTTTAGAACAATTTCATACAGCATTGATTTTGGTACTTGAATTTGATTTTTACTCTTCTTAATCCCCCATATCTTCTCATGTGCATGCTGGTAGAAATTGAGCGGCGCCCAACCCTTGATAAGTTCAACAAAGTTAAGATTATTTTACCCAGAACGAACTACTGGCCGTGGAAGATTCTTAGGCTCTTATTTTGTGTTTTACCCTAAGCGAATTGGCCGTTTACGCAGCGCCAAGTCTACCTACCCGTTATAGATTAATTAATATTTTCGTCAAGGGAGCGTCAAGTTAGTAAGAAAAAGTTGTCACTTGTATTATTTTCATTCCTTAGTTGAATTTTTTTTAAACTTTAACATTGGTTGTTGCTATACATACACGGTAAATTTTCTGTATGAATTTCGAACTTACAAGAGTTCTTGATGTGTCCTGCTTTGAAATAATGATAGTCCTATGTAATCACCCCGAAGCTTAACGCACGGGTGTTCATGTGCTTTTTCACCTCGTAGTTTGTGGAATATTTTTCTACCGCCACATAAACTTTTAGTTTTATTCGTGGACACTGTAAAAATGACACTAAACAATTTTTTTGCATAAGCGGTACTCGGTAGACAGTGAAGTTTTCCAAATTAAATCTTCTAGTTGTTATAAGCATCTCAAGGAATTGCAGACGTCAGCACGGAAATAAACCCGATTGAAGATAGATGAAGAGTAAATCTTAAATAAAATAAATGACCGACCTTCCTAATTTTTTGATTGTCAGAAAGAAATAAACACAAAACGGCAGGGAAAATCAAAATTATGAAGAGTAATAAAAATACCAAAATTTTTCGTTATGTATGCAACAATAGATGTATAACATCATGAAGTGTTTATATCTTTTATACATTTTTTAAAACAAATGCTTGCGATCGTGATTTTTAATAATCCAGAGGACTGTACTAATAGTGAAAGTGTGATTCCATTAACTACAATATTGCTTCACAATTGAAAGAGTAGTTCATACAAATTTTTTTTATTTTACACTCAATAAAAAATTCAAATTCTACAATTCTATTTTCCTACAAAATATATAGGATATTCCATTCAAAAACCATGAGCTTACTTGCTATTAATTCAAAGCTCAAAGTATTTTTACTTTTCTCAGTTGAACACACAGCGTAAGGTTTGGGATCCCCTAAAGTGGGTGTCCTGGGCAGCGGCCCTGTTGGGCGTACCTTAATCTGGCACTATACACATAGCTGCAATTCAGAGTTGAAGAGAAGTCAAGAAGAAGATAATGAAGGTAGGGCATATTTCGCATATTATCATAGGCAACAAGTAAATTGCTCAGATTTATGTTTTCAAAAATTACTTAAACTAAAATTATTTCCAGGTTAAACTAATTTTTTGAACTAGTCGGTAACTACAGATAAAAATTTGAGATAACACAAGAAATTTGAAGACAATACTATTTATTAAATGACAATATTCTGATAAAATTAATTTTATTCATTACAAGTTTTTGACATCACATCACGTACAGACACATATAAAAAAGCAAATTAATAAAAACGAAATCGAGGCGACTTGATTAACCTAATACTCACACAATAGCAATGTCTATCATATTAAATCAACAGTTTTCTGTGGTTTCCATACTTTCGTCTCCTTCTGCTTCCATATCTTCATCTTCTTCTTCGCCGTCTTTCTTCTCTGGTGTCTTATCGTATGCTTTATCTAAAGGTGAGACTACAACACCATCCCAAACAGACATCTCTTTCGCAATTGAGGCATTCTCTTCTAGACCTAAAATATGCTTATAGCCACCATGCGAAAGCACACGCAGTAAGGTTTGTGCAGTTAAACAGCAAATGTCCTGCTGTTCTAGAGTCATTGCGGTGTGAATACGAATACTGCCACCTTCACAAGGATCTGTAATACCAGCTGATCCAGGCAAAAATAATCCCGCCGCCAATAATTGGAAAACTCTGCGAAATGCTTGATTGATTGGCAAAGCTTGACGACTTGGATTGTTCATAATAGCGAAGTGAGCCAATAAATCCAGCATCCACGGAGTTAAAGCTTCAAATCCATCAAACCGACTTCTTAAATCTCTAAGGAGACGGATCAGAACTTTAATGGACGAATGATGAGCATTTTCTTCAAACCATCGACTATGACGTATGGCGGCTAAGTGGCTTAGCATAATTTTTTGATCGAGGTGTATTTCGGGATCTAATTTGCGTAGGTTGTGATGTACTGTAGTTACCAAGACTCGCACACAGGCAAAGCTGTTACTTATCTCGAAGCCCCGCTCATTAATTTCATGGGTTAGTGCTTCACCTTTTGGTACAACCTCGCTTTTCATTAAGTTTTTAAGATCTTCTTTAACCTTATTTCCTAAAGCTTCCACTGCTTCACGTGTTGGTAACGTTTTTAGAATAACAACAATATCGGCAACATTATGTCCTGTTACCATTGTGCCTTTCTTAAACGACCCAACTTGTCGAACTTCTTCCAATTGCTGCAAAAATTTTCTGTATTAATTGAATACATTTTGTGTAGTGTATTCTAAATCCCAAATTTAAAAGACAAACAACTATAATAATCCCAAACATGACAAACTATAATAAGTAATACTCACACATGCATCAAATCCTCCGGGAGCAACTACCAAATTATCCAATACAGACTGTATCTTAGTTACCAAGTTCAAAATTGCAGTTTGTTCTGCAGGTGTTGGGGAAAGATCTGCATTTCTCTTGAGCAGCGCTTGAGTAAACGCCGTTTCATCAGGTATTGGCTTTACTCGAGGGAAAGTGCTTTCGCAAAGCGTCAAATCGAATGGATGACGAGGTAGGAAAATTTTTGGTTTGAAAGGACCTCTACCAATTCCACGACCCATTCCTCCTCTGCCTCTCATTCCGCCGCGAACCATTTAAAAACTACTTTACCTTGAATAATTAGTAGCAGATTATCGCTAACACAATTCACTTTTTAATAACCGCGCCGGCAAAAATGATACGCGCTCAAGGTATTCATGAAAACAACGCGATCGATAAAAATAATCGCATATAACTTCAGTGTATATTTCATACCAACTTTAAGGCACAACTATAAACAAGGTGTGTGAAAAGTGACTCTCGGGTCTACATTCACAGTTTAAGAGATTTATCACAAGCCGCGTACTTACTATAAACCAAGCTATAAATTATTGTGTTCCATTTTTTCCTATCTCGAGTTAACTTCTAGACTAGCAAGTTACTTGCGACAATCTCGTGCGAGAAACTTCCACATGTATTTACACTGTGAGCAATAAGTGTCGCGATAAACTGTCGGGCAAGTTGGGTGAGCCATTGCTGACGCAAGTTCTCACAAAGCTGTTTACACTAGCAGCGCTTTTAGCTTCCGCAAATGCTGTCAGTTGATACCATATACACCATGATGATGCCTAGCAGCTGTTTTCGAGAACTTATCTCACGTTATGGCACCAATAGGACATCTTTGTGTTGCCGCGGCTGTAGTTTTATGCAATAATGTGAAACACAAAAGAAGTGTTAGGTGAGAGAATGGATTTCAAGAAGAGAAAAGTATGGGGCCTACAATAAATTAATTTATGAGCTGAAAATCGGAAAATCAATCCCAACAATTTAAAAATTTTATTCGTATGTCAGCGGTAGACCTTGAGGCAGTGGCGGATTTAAATTTTTTGCGCCCTTAGGCACACCGAAAAATATGCGCCCCAAAATAATTTTTTAATTGCAGTAAATTTTAAAATAAAAATCAAATTATAACTTTGAATTACTTAACTGAGCTTATAATTTTGAAAACTAATATGAAAAGAAACTATCTACCAATTCCAATTTATTTCATAATTTTAATTAAACATTTTTGTCATTTGTAACTTGTTAGGACTTATTTTAAAACTTAAAATGTTACCTAAAATAAATATAGTGCAAAAAATGCCGCCCCCTAAAGCTGCCGCCCCTAGGCACGTGCCTTGTGTGCCTATATGTAAATCCGCCACTGCCTTGAGGAACTGTTATGTTATTTACCTACTTATGTTGACGCATCCGGTATAAAAGAACGATAACATGTACGGACCGTTGACAAGCAAAATCGCTCTCTCCCAACCCGACTTTCGACGAGTACGTAACAAGGCGTGTGAAGAATAAACGAAACATTGATTTATGCCTTTTATTTACACCCTGCCATTTCGGCATACATAACACTGGCGACGAGGTAAATATAGCAATTCATTTAAAGGGTTTGGGTAGAGCAAAATTTTTCAAGTAAAGTAACAGTAGTTGAGGTTAAGAAGGCAGTGGCAATGGCGGTTGTCGGAACCATGCCAGTTTTTGACTGTAACGAAGATTTCGTTATTTTTAAAGAACGGATCGTTCAATTTTTTAAGGCAAATTCTATTGCGGAAGCGAAGCAAGTTCCGGTGTTAATTACAGCGTTGAGTAGTTCGGTGTATACGACCTTGCGCGATTTATGTTATCCAGATAAACCCGATACAAAAACTTTTGCCGAAATTTGTAAATTGTTGGCACAACAGTATTCAAAAGCGATATCAATTTTCAACGAACGAAGAATTTTCTACAAGATGCAGCAAAGTGAAGGAGAGCAGATTAACGATTGGTTCGCGCGGGTAAAGAAGCTGGCAGTAAACTGCAAATTTGGAGCCGACTTAACCATGGTTTTAAAAGATAAGTTTGTGACAGGGATGGTGGATGGCAAGGTGCTAGACAGACTGGTAGAGGAGGATCCGTCGCAGAAGACCTTAGACGAACTATTTCAAATGGCGGTAAAAAAGGAGGCATCCTTGCGGATAAGCGGTGGTAGCAGTCGACAGCAGCTGTTTGCAATAGACAAGAAGAGGGTTACTGAAAGGCGAGCTGAAAGGGGTCCGCAGCACAAGGTACATTCAGCGAAAGCGTCGGGCTCACAGTCACAGGTGAAGTGCTACGCGTGTGGTAAGAAGAATCACAATTTCAGTAAGTGCACGTACAAAAATTTTAAGTGTAGGTTATGTTTTAAAGTGGGACACATTACATCTATCTGTAATATGAAAAGACAAAATTACCTGCAAAGTAGAGACGAAGCACAATCACATGTTGAAATTCAAAATGAGGATTCTGTTTTAGAGCGTACTTTGTATCACTTAGATAATGAGGTTACACATAATTTTAAAGTAGATGTTTTCATTAATCGTGTTAGGTTGCGAATGGAAATCGATACAGGTTCTGCCATTTCGGCAATATCTTTTAAATTGTACAATGAACTGTTTAATAACTTACCGTTACAGGTTTCAAGGACAGTCTTGAAATCGTATGATGGTACAAATATTTATCCAAAAGGAAAAATTAACGTAAGCTTGCAGATTGGAGGTGATTGTAAGATGGTCGAATTATTAGTCATCGATAATGGTGGAAACCCATTGTTGGGTAGAGATTTATTAGCAAGGTTTAATGTAAGTATGTGTAGCAAAAATGTGTTCGTGTTAAATGATTGTAAAGATAGTTTAGACGTTTTAGTAAATAATTATGCAGAGCTATTTAAAGATGAGTTAGGTCATTTTAAATTTGAAAAGGTGAAATTGGAAGTGGTAGAAGGAACGACACCTAAATTTCATAAACCAAGAAATTTGCCAATTGCTTATAAAGGATTAGTTGAAGTAGAGTTAGACAGGTTACAAAAAGAAGGTGTAATTACACCAGTTCCAGATTCAGTTTGGGGGACACCCTTGGTCCCTATATTAAAAAAAGATGGGACAATTCGGTTGTGTGCCGATTATAAGGTTACGGTAAATAATTATTTGAAAGATGTTAAATATCCCCTCCCATTAATTGAAAATTTATTTGCCGCTTTACAGGGTGGAGAGAAGTTTTCTAAATTAGATCTCAGTCACGCATATAATCAGTTAGAGCTAGAGGAATCCACCAAACTTTTACTAGCGTGGAGTACGCATAAAGGTATATTTAAAGTTGAGAGACTGCCTTTCGGTACAAAACCCGCTTGCTCGATTTTTCAACACATAATGGAGAAAGTATTGCAAGGAGTAACAGGAGTGACCGTTTTTCTGGACGACATTGTAGTGACAGGGAGAAATAACAAAGAACATTTGCAAAACTTAGAGGTAGTGTTTCAAAAATTAAAAGGTGCAGGATTCCGTTTGAATCGATTGAAATGTAATTTCCTACAGGATAGAATCGAATATTTAGGGCACATAATTAGTAAGGAGGGGTTACAAAAAAATCCTTCTAAAATTAAAGCAATAGTGAATTGTCCAAGACCCGAGAATGTTTCTCAAGTAAAAGCTTTCATCGGTATGATTAATTACTATGCGAAATTCATTTCTAATGTTACAAAACTTTTAAATCCATTGTACAAATTGCTAAGTAAGGACAGTGTTTTTGCATGGAGTAGGGAATGTGAAAATTCATTTATCACAGTAAAAGAGGTAATGGCTTCGGATATAATTTTGGTACATTTTGATCCAAAATTACCTATCAAAGTAAGCTGTGACGCGAGCTCCTATGGAGTAGCAGGCATTTTAGCACATGTATTTCCGGATGGTAGTGAGCGACCTATTGAATACGCATCACGTAAATTAACAACTGCCGAGATGAATTATGCGGTCATTGATAAAGAGGCCTTGGCTATTTATTTTTCAATAAACAGGTTTTCTAATTATTTGTTTGGCCACAAATTTGTATTAGTGACCGATCATAAGCCATTAAAATATCTTTTTGGAGATACGAGAAGTATACCAGTAACGGCAGCAGGACGTTTACAGCGTTGGGCGGTGTATTTAAGTGGTTTTGATTATAGTATCGAATATGTTGAAGGGAAAAGGAATAGTAATGCAGATGGTTTATCTAGATTACCTATAAATTTGATTTTAAAGGAATCTACAGAGTACACGTATTTGAATTTTGTTGCACAAAATTCAGATATCGTGGTGGATGCAAAGGCAATAGAGGAAGAAACTAAAATTGACAAAATTTATTCTAAGATTTTTAAGTTTGTAAAAGATGGGTGGCCTACACAGAATACGGATAAAGATTTGCAACGTTTTTTCAATAGGAGATTCGAATTTAGTATAGAACAAGAGGTAATTATGTTAGGACACAGGGTGGTAGTACCTACAAAATTCCACGACAGTATTTTAAACGAGCTGCACATTACACATGCAGGAATAGTTAAAATGAAGTCGATCGCACGTTCTTACGTGTGGTGGCCGTTAATAGATGCAGATATAGAGAGAGTAGCTAAACAGTGTGTAATTTGCAACAAGTTTAAACCCAATCCTCCACTTGCAGAAGTTTTAGCATATAAACAAGCCAAGCAGGTGTTTGAGAGAATTCATGTAGATTTTTTTGGTCCTGTAAGGAATAAAATGTTTCTTGTAGTGCTAGATGCATGTAGTCGTTGGCCGGAAGTAATTGAAATGTGTTCAACTACTTCCTTAGCAACGATCGAGGCATTAAGATCGATTTTTGCGAGATATGGGCTACCAGATCAGCTGGTAAGCGACAATGGACCACAGTTCCGATCTTATGAATTTGAAAATTTTTGCAGAAATAACGGCATAAAACACACATTGACACCACCGTTCCATCCTGCTAGTAATGGGGCAGCGGAAAATGCCGTAAAGGCAGTCAAAACCGCGTTAATAAAAGCTTTCAGCGATGGTAGAAATTCAAATATTTCTACGAGCTGTTTATTGGCTAGGTATTTGCTCAATTATAGAGCTGCTGATCATGGCACGACAAATAAGTCTCCAGCTAGTATTATGTTTGGAAGGGAACTGAAATTAAGGCTCAGTAATGTCAGACCAAAATATAAGACAGATTCAGAAGAATTAACTATTTGTAAGCCCGGAAGAGCCATAAGTTTTGAACAGGGGGAGGATGTTTACATCCGCGACTATAGCAATATAAATAAAAAGAGCTGGATACCAGCAAAGATTCACAAAGTACTGGGACCTAGGGTTTACCTATGTAAAAATTCAAAGGGAATGTACAAGAGACATTTAGACCAGATTTTACGGAGCATTCCTA